ATGGAGTTTTCTTCACCTTCTTACCTATAAAAGGAGACCCAATTCCCTCAATTCTTCACCAATTCTCTCCATTTTTCCTTCTATTTCGTTCCTTGTTGAAAGAAGAGTGCAGTGGTGTTGTCAATTTGGTGTGAACTCGCCGGAGCAAGCCGTGGTGTTCGTTGGAAGTTTCGTCGTTTTTCCGCCGGAATCATCGTTTCACTTCGAAAAGGTAGAAGACGATGGACAGTAACCTGAAACTACACTGCTTGGATCGATCACACTGCCCTGATCGATCACACTGCCCTGAACAATCACACTGCCTTGATCGATCACACTGCAATCCCCCGAAATTCTGATCCGAAAATTTGTCTGAAAATGCTATTTTTGAACTCTAAAATCCTATTTATAATACCTATTTATTATGATTATTTTAAGGATGATTCTTCACAATAAAAATGTTGTTTTTAACAAATAAAAATGTTATGTGATGCATGACGGTAAGTTCAGGTGTTAACACTCAAAACTAGACCGCTATTTGTTATTAATTATTATGTTGATTGATGATTATGATGAATGATTATTATGGATGATTATGAGTGATGAACTTACTGATTAAAATGATTATTGATGATTGAACCAAGAGTAAAATGAATATAATGATGATAATGAAATCAGTGTATTGTTAAGGCTATCTCTAAGACCTCTAAGATAGACCTCAAATTAGATTGGGCCTTGCGGGTATAAATATGTATATTCGGTGGCCTTGGGTAAAAACGTATGTACGGGATCCATAAACAAACTAGAGGAACTCGTTTGGGGATACCACCCAACCCGACAGTTAGTATTCTACTGTTCGGTTTTCTGGATTTGTACCTTGAGCGAAGGCTAGTTTAAGAGTTGGTAAATAAATCGGAATATATGTACCTTAAACTAATGACCTAGCTTAAGAGTTGGATAAAAAGTACCTTGAACTAGAATTAGTTTAAGAGTTGGATAAAAGTACATTAGACTAGAATTAGCTTAAGAGTTGGATAGAAGTACCTTGAACTAGAATTAGTTTAAGAGTTGGTAAAACATCAAAAAGATTGTCCTTAGACTAAACATAGTTTAAGGATATTGTTGAATATTGAATATTGAATATGAATGTTGATTATTGAAAATCATGAGTGACGCATTAGATATGCTTACTCAGCTTTACCGCTGAGCGTGTAATGTGTTTTATTTGCTACACGCAGGTAAACAGAAAACATAATGTGATCCTAGCGGCAGATGGGGCGAGATTGTCGGGATGGATGTGACAAGTTTTGAAATGATTTATGATATGTCAATATTAAATTCGCTTCCGCAATATTGTTGAATACTCCGTATTGTATATGTTATGAAAAATATTATTGAGATTAATAAAGTATGTTTGAAAAGTTTTAAATTTTTAAGATTACCAAGTTAAATATTTTAGTCCGCAAGTGTTACGCTTTGAGCCGATATGAAATATGTTTTAATTTCCAATATCAAAATCTGGATAACTCTCCTAGAGATAAATCCAATATGTTGACTAATTGTGACCAGAACTAACCCTTGGACTCATGTCTGGGTTTAGTTCTTATTTACTTCTTTAATAAATATTATACTTGAAATTTTACTAAATAACTTTATTTAGTACTCTTGTTTACTATACTTAATTTACACTCTTGGAAAAACTTATTTCCAGTTTATTTGGTTAAAACTGAGTGTCAAAGTCAAACACTCAAAAATATGATGTCAAAAAAAGTATTTCAAATAAATATAAAAATTATATAGTTGGATAGAATTCGACTTTCTCATTGCAAAGGTGCAAACAGATTTTAATTCGGAGAAAGTTGGACCAAAAAGTGTACCCCGACTGGAACCAAAATTGGTCCCAATCAGGGACACTCTAGAGACTGCGCCTCCTCCTCCACTACAAGGATACGCCGATTGGAATGATACAGCAGGCTTGGAAGTTTTCCCCATCTCCTTCCTATATAAGACTACCAAAGCTTAACCATTTCTTCACCATTTCTCAAAATATTTCGTCCTATTCTGTTGCTCTGAGTGAGGAGAACGCAGTGGTGTTGTCAATTTGGTGTGAAGTCGTCAGAGTTGAGAGTTATACTCACCGGAAGTTTCGCCGGAAAATTTCCAAAACCTCCATTAAGTCGTCGGAGTTGAGAGTTATACTCACCGGAAGCCCGTAGATATATCTAATGACTAGAATGTTCATATAGATCCATTTTACGTTCATAAACGTTCATTTGGTTGAGTTTTGTGTTTGACATGTTTGAGAACTAATAATCGTAAACCATGATTTTGATGTTAAAACTATGAATTAATGATGCCAAAATGATCTATGAACCTTGGAGAACACTTTTATATACTTTAATTGAAGTTTGGTAAGTAAAAGTGACATTTTCGCAAGTTGGCTCGAGGTAGAAGACGATGGATAATCGATTATCAACTTGAAAATGGATTATTCATCGTTCTGCAGATTTTTGGAACAAAGCTGAGCAACAATCGATTGTCAGAATGTGACAATCGACTGTCAGCCCTCTCTGAAGTTTGATAATCGATTATCAGAGTGTGATAATCGATTATCAGCCCATTCTGAACATCAGACAGTAGATTATCAGAAGTGACAGTAGACTGTTTCCCTACACTATTGAAGAAAATGAAGCTAATAGCTAATAATGGAATTTCCTATCATATATTAATCAATTATTGTTTAGAAGACATGATTTTTGAACTATGGAATCTTATTTTTGATATTAATGAATTATGATTAATGTAAAGATGATTTGTTGGAATATAAATGAAGTTTTGACAACTAAAAGGATCTTATTTGATGCATGATGGTAAGCTAGGGTGTTAACACTCGACGCTAGGCCGATATTTGTTAATAAATGTTACTATGACTATTATGATCAAACTTGATAATATTTTGAATAAATGATTATTATAATAGATAATGGATTATCATTGATAATAATATTAATTATGATTATCAAATGGACGACCTGAGTGATTATGACTACATAACGATCATGATTTTATTCTAACAAAATAATAGTGTATGGAATTAAACGAATGAACCGTAAAGATGAAATTATGAATAGATATGTTTGTTTGACTATCTTGAATTAAATTATGATTATGAATTATCGAAACATAATTCAAATGAATATATTGTTAAACAAGAAAATGATGTGTATTGTTAAGGATATCTAGAAGAACTTTAAGATATACCCATTAGCTAATTAATGTTAAGACTATCTAGAAGACCTCTAGAATAGATCTTAGAATGAACTTATGAAAACATGAATAGTTGATGAATTAGATATAAATGCATAAACGGGATTCGTAGACCAAACTAGAGGATTACTCGTTGGAAATGCCCGATCCAATATTGACCAATCGCTATATTGTTGTTGCCTTAACTGACTACAGTTAAGTGTCCGAAATCATTTTCCTTAAACTAATGATAGTTTAAGTGTCTGATTGCCTTAACTGACTACAGTTAAGTGTCCGAAATCATTTGCCTTAAACTAATGATAGTTTAAGTGTCTGATTAATAATTGCCTTTTTAGAATGTGATTATGGAAATTATGATTTGGCCTTAGACTAAGAATAGCTAAGAGCATTATTATGATCTGGCCTTAGACTAAGAATAGCTAAGAGCGTTGTTATGATCTAGCCTTATATTAAGAATAATTTAAGAGCACTATTGAAATAGTATCTGAATTGAATAAAATGTGTTGATATGAACTGAACAATACCAAAACTATGAATGTCTGAAATGAACATTGTGTGCATGATATCAAATGATTTGATTATGAATTTAGATTCAGTTTATATGGATGTTCGACGCATTAGATATGCTTACTCAGCTTTACCGCTGAGCGTGTAGTGTGTTTTATTTGCTACACGCAGGTACAACAGAAAGAACACTGTGATCCTGGCAGCACATGGAGCGAGATTGTCGAGATTCATGTGACAAGTTTGAAATGATTTATGATATGTCAAAATTAAATTCGCTTCCGCAATATTGTTGAATACTCCGTACTGTATATGTTATGCAAAATTATTGGGATTAATAAAGTGTGTTTGAAAAATTTTAAATTTTTACGATTACCAAGTTAATACTTTAGTCCAAAAGGGGCTGCAGACCTGGACGGATTAGGGTGTTACAATTTGGTATTGGAGCAAGTAGTTTTAAAAAATGTCAGTCACATCCAAGACTCTCGAATCCCTCTGCTCCAGGAAAGGTATGAGAATTTACTAGATACATATTGACTTTGTTAAAATTCTCATTAGATAAGAATTGTTAGTACTGAAATTATATCGAGCATAGACTCAAGTAGATTTTTCGTACTCAGTGAAGAGACGAAAGAATAAAAAAAATTGTGATACGTTATCAACGTACTTATCATATCGTGATTGACGAAACTGATCTTTCTCGCAAAGTCGCATACAAGTGAGACGACTATGAAGAAACACCTAATGTTGAATAACATTCGCGAAGCTGCTGTCAAAGATCCTCATGTGGACTGAAGATGATCGGATTGCTGATTTAAACACGAACGTTTAAAATCAATAAAATCTGTTGTCTAAAAGTATCTGATTCTGATGTCTAACTCATTACGACGTAAATATGCGATTATATTATACGAATCGAAATTGTTCGTTCAGCAGCAATTCCTTGGCAAAACTTTATTTAAATATCCTACAAGGAAATTGACGTTATCCTTATCTCGTATCTATGACTTATTTGATCAGCTTAGAGAATCCATTGTGCTCTCTAAGATTGACTTACGGTCAAAGATACTATCACATCTCTGTTAAGACAGACAAACTGACGATCAAGAATTGCTACCCTTTACTATGTATTGACAATTTGTTCGGTCAAATTCAAAGGAACGTACTCGCTAGAAGCTATGGATAGCTCAATCTTGTTGAATGAAGTGACACATTGTTATGACACGATTAGTGACTTAAACATCGATATAGTCTGAATAAATATCCGTTGACAACTCGTCAAAAATCCTAACGAAGGAATTTTTGTTATTGTAGAATGAGTCAAGAAAACGCTCACGATCAAAGTAACCAAGTGCCAAGCGATGGGCACGAAATTGTTCATACTGAAGTATCCAGTTTCACACCTCCTATTCAAATTGAACAAGTGAACTCACAACATGTTCCCCAAAACGATCAAAATATTGGAGGTCAACCTGACGCTATGCTACCTACCTTAATGGTAAACTTCTTGCAACAAATGACCAATGCCCCTATGTTTCAACCACCTCCACCACCACCTCATTTGATCACTTTCAAAACCTTGAAAGACAGTGGTGCTGAGGAGTTTCTGGGAGATCGAATTGCCGAACCCCAAATTGATCTTGAATGGATCGAGCAGACCGCTCGTGTACTACAAAATCTGAACATACCTCTTGTTGACCATCCAAAATTTGCATCTCAATTGCTCCGCAAGGAAGCCTACGAATGGTGGAAACGCACTGGCGAAAATCCAAACACCCCCAAACCGTGGACTTGGGAATTCTTCGATTGGGCGTTCAAGAAGGAATATATCCCAGCTCGATTCCGTGAAGAGAAGCGTGCTGAATTTATTGAATTAAAGCAAGGAGACATGACACTCCCTGAATACCGACAAAGATTTGTCCACCTCGCTCAATTTCCACCCACGCTGGTGAGCACAGCGACTGACTGCATTGAAGAGTTTCGTAAAAGACTTCGACCTGATCTCAGGCCGCACGTATCTACCATTCAAACTATGGATTTTATTGAGGCATACGACCTAATCTCCAAAGCTGAAAAGGATCTAAGTGATTACTATGAAAGTATGAAGACTGAAAATGCCACTTCAAATGTATGACCAAATACAACTGGGAAGAGACCCTTGCAAGAAATCAAAAGTGTCTTACACTCGAAAAAGGGAAAGTCAATGACAAATCAAACGACGACATTCGTAAACAAAATGAGAGTATGGAAACATCCAAAGTGTAATATTTGTAAAAGACACCATCCAGGAGAATGTCGGTTTACGCAAGGATTATGTCTAGGTTGTGGCAAACCTGGACATTTCCGAAGGGAATGTCCCACTAACCCTGAATCATATTTAGTTACTTCTGTCCAAAATCAACCTGTTCGCTCAGGAACAAGTCAACGTTCTAAAACACAACAATTCAAAAAATCCAACCCAAGGATGATACTCTGTGAAGATTCTAAAGTGCTACAAAGGCTCGAGGATATATTGAATAATGTAGAAACCTTATGTAAACAAGAAATTATCTTTCGAATTGTATCTCAAGAATATTCGTATTTTCTTGAACCTACGTGTGTTGAAACCATTGTATAATAAAATCTTTCATTTGACCCATCTTGAGAAAATGTTTGATATTTACATGATGCATTCTCATGTTGAAAATAGATATTTTTCTGACTTGCACTGGCCATGCAGCTTAGAATAATATTTATGGTTAACTCATAATGTTTATGGACAATATTATTCCAACATAAATTCAACTGAAATTACATAAAGTAATATTACAAATGCAATTCTAAATCTAATCCCCCGGGATTTGCAAACTCGTCATAACTAGCCCCAGGACTCGGAAAAGCTTTAGCAAATGCAAGCTTGTCTAAAAGCTCATCAATAAAGAAAGAAGAGATGAAAAGTTTTCTCTGACTGGAAGCCATGAAGTTTTACCTCAGCGCGTCATCTAGAAATTTGATTAGGTTATTAAAATAACCGTCAATGTTCAAGAGACCAATGGGTTTATTGTGCAACCCTTCAGATGCCCACGAAATTAAGGTGAACAAACCTTCCATAGTATCAATTCCTCTGGGAAGTATGATGAAAGCCTCCACCACATGATTCATCTCGAAATACTTGTAGTAATTGCTGGAAACGGTGTACTCTGCACCGTATGTAGGACCATAGACCTGTCGTGCTGCTATATACCCTAGTATGAAGCCTCTAACTATACCACCATTGGTATAAATTGTTGAAGCAACAACTCCTTAAAGGCCAATGTTGCCTCCTCCATAGGTAAGTCTAATTTTTCGCCTTACCAATTCCCTTCCTAAATCCACCGCCGTAGCCATGAACTTTGGATTTCTAACAAGAGAATGACTACCAAATAGACCAACGAATTTTATGGTATAAGGAAAAGTTCGAGGTGTTCCTTCCATAATGTGAGAATGTGAAATGCTCTGGCAACAATCGTGATATATATAGGCTCTGAAAACCTGACCTTTGAAAAAGGGTAGTTATCCTCCGTCAAAATTTGTACAGCAAATATGGATTTGATTTACCTACAGATGAGGACGTGCTCGTTAATGCTACAGTCTGCTTACGATATGACATATTAAGACTCATGAACAGTTATATTCGATGTCCTGAAATACGTTCAAATCTGAGACGAAAAGTCAAAATGACTAATGCCTTAAGACAACGACCATTTAAGTAACTTGAAAGCTTACGACGTATGAATTCATATACCTTCCAAGTTTTTAAGTATGCCTATCGTGAATCTTCTATGAAGGATATTGAAGAACTTTTCAATCAAGAAAAGAAATTTCGTTGAGAAATGACGTGCAAACGAGACTCGCCACTGAACGAAGCTATGTGCAAATATGTCAGGTATACTATACTACAAACTTAGAAGGAAACTTTTGAAAGGATCAGTGAATGCCTTGCTTAATCGATGTTTATTAATCTCACGAATATTGAACGAGTTGGTAACATCAACGATTTCAGAATATGTATCTATAAGATAAAACGTAACCATGCGAACATGACGTTGTCACGATTAATAATGAATACAACAAATGTTGATTGTGGACCTCAAAAGAATTTCGAGGACGAAATTCCTTTAAGGGGGGAGAAATGTAACGCCCCAAAACATACCCTAAAATTATTAATGAATAATTCAATTAATCAAATTTGTTTTGATTAAAATAAATTATTGTTGGGCTTTGGGCCAATATGAAATATGTTTTAATTTCCAATATCAAAATCTGGATAAGTCTCATAGAGATAAATCTAATATGTTGACTAATTGTGTGGTCTTGATTGGGAACCTGAGTACAGACCCAAATCAAGAATAAATGAAGAAATTATTTATAATATGAACTTTAAAATGATTTATTGAAATAAATCATGAGAACAAATTATATGAATTAAATGTGAGAACCTTTTTGAATAAAGGTCAAATAAACCAATTTTGACTCTGTCAAAGTCAAACACTCAAAAATATGATGTCAGAAAAAGTATTTCAAATAAATATTAAAATTATATAGTTGGATAGAATTCGACTGTCTGACCGCAAAGGTGCAAACGGATTTCAATTCGGAGAAAGTTGGACCAAAAAGTGTACCCCGACTGGAACCAAAATTGGTCCCAATCAAGGACACTGTAGACACTGCGCCTCCTCCTCCACTACAAGGATACGCCGATTGGTATGATACAGCAGGCTTGGAAGTTTTCCCATTCTCCTTCCTATATAAGACTACACAGTGGTGTTGTCAATTTGGTGTGAAGTCGTCGGAGTTGAGAGTTATACTCGCCGGAAGTTTCGCCGGAAAATTTCCAAAACCTCAATTAAGCTTTGAGGTAAGCCCGTAGATATATCTAATGACTAGAATGTTCATATAGATCGATTTTACGTTCACAAACTTTCATTTGGTTGAGTTTTGTGTTTGACATGTTTGAAGAACTAAGAATTGTAAACCATGATTTTGATGTTAAAACTATGAATTAATGATGCCAAAATTTTTAGAAAAATGTGCAACTCTAGAGGGGGGTGAATAGAGTTGTTTTCAAGAATGTGCGTTTTTCGCGTGTGTGAAATAATAAAATCACAGGAATGAGTAAGGGAAAGAAGAACACCGTGATTTATACTGGTTCACCACCTCGTGGCTAGTCCAGTCCTCCGAGAGACTCTCTCGAAAGTCCTACTAATCTTCAAGCTTCAACGGGTGCTTGAAAAACCGGTACAACTTGAGAACTTGAATCACACAAGCCTCACTTTCTTACAACAACAAGACTTGAGTCACACAAGTCTTTAGAACAGCACTCGAATGAGATTGAGTTTAACAACACAAGAATGAAAGCTCACACAATTGAGCAAAGTAGTGTTGAAGAATTAAAGCTCTATGGATGACAAAATCTTTAGCACTCAATAAAATATTTCTAACTCTCAAAATAATATATTTGATGAGGAAGATGGAAGCAAGAAATGAATATAGCTCAACGAAGATATTGGAGTGCAAGAGTTGTGTCTTAAAATGAAGGAGAATGAAGGATTAAATAGGCTGAAGAAAAAAGAACCGTTGGAGCAGGCTGAGAATAAACACCAGACAAAATTAATCGATTAAAGTGGAGAAAGTAATCGATTAGACGGCGCTGTCTGAACTAATCGATTAAGGTGAAGAAAAAATCGATTAATTGGAAAAAGTCTTCAGCGAAGAATGCAATCTTAATCGATTATGTTTGATGGAAAAATCGATTAGACTGCGCTGTGAGAACTAATCGATTAAATGGATAATAAAAATCGATTAATACTGAAGGCTTGAGAAATCCGGAACTGGATCTAATCGATTAATTTAGGAAATTTAATCGATTAAAGTGGAAATAATGCGCAAACATAAAGGGCCCAAGCCAAGTGCGAGTGGAAGCCTTTGGCTTCTAACTCACTATTTGGGAACAACGGGAATATCAACGGACGCTCCTCAAAGATAAAATCTCCTATTCAATGAATTTGAGTAGGGGAGAGAAAAAGAGTCCAAAAATTATTTTGTGTGTCAAACGATGTACACGAAAAATATTTAAAGTATATTTTTCTTACCAAAAAAAAATTGTGTAATCTTAAAAATATTTTTAAGAAATTTTTGACACACTTATTTCGAAACTAACTCAGTAAAATATTTTTAGACAGAGGAAAAGTAATTTTTCAACTGACTCAGAAAATAATAATTTTTATCCCTCAAAAATAATTTGTTTTTGCAGAAAATATTGTCATCCTTACAAAGATTCCTGGACTTAATTAAAAGAAATCTTCGGAGACTTCACTTCACTTCAAAAATTTCTGCGTAGGGGTAAGCCTTGATTTTATCTTAATACGCCTCTTTGCTTTTCTCGATATGAAAATAAATTTTCGATCAGCTTGAATTTAATCATCCTCTTTGTCATTCATCAAAACAAAAAAAAAATATTCCAGAAGAAATAGTAAAGGGGTTTGAACTAGTGTCCAACAATTTCCCCCTTTTTGATAATGACAAACATAGTTGAGAAAGAGCAAAGTAAGAGTTCAAAAAATACTTCCTTTTAAGAATAATCCCCCCTGCAAGGTTAGAGAAGTTAAAAATATCGGAGTAAAAAGTGGAAAAAACATTTTAAAAAAAGGTTTTCTCAACTATCCTACCTTCCCCCTTTTGGCATTATCAACCGATAACCTCCCCCCTTAATCAATGCCGGGATATTGAAGGATAAATTTGCAAGAAATTTTCTTAAAAAAAGGAACTTCTAACAAGAATGCCACAAAGGGACAATTGTTGGAACACGGGTTTACGTCTACGACATACTAAACCGTGCTCGTTTTATGACAGGTTTTGATAATGCCAAACCGTCGTGACATAACAAGGTTAAAGTGAGCAAAACCAAGGCGAAGGAACATGGCATGATGATTTGAGAACCAAGAACCAAGAACGTAGACTTAGAATTGTATTGAGTCGGTCTTAATGTGATCAAGACCGGCACAAACTTTCAAACCTTGGCTCTCTAGGCTCTTTTCATCAAAATGTTTTTTGCATATTCAAAAATGTTTTTCTTAAGTTTTAAACATGCCTAAAAACACTTGGAGTTCGCCTAAACCAAAACCCAAGTCATCCGGTGTTCGGCTTTCAGAAATCGGCGTTCGGCTTCCGGTTTTCGGCATTGGTTTTTGGCATCCGAACTAACCAAGTGGTTTCAACTTTTTATGATTGGTTTTTACTTCTGGGCATATTTAAATAGTTCTCCAACAAAAACGCTTCAAAAACCACCTTCCGTTTTTGGTCGTTTAGTGAAAACCATGCGAAACGACACAAACTTGGTTAGCCGTGGTTTTCAACTAAATGACGTGGTTTTTGAGTTGTTTTACTTGATTTATTAGCAAAATGCAATAAACAAATGTTTTCAACACTTGGTTTTTATTTTGGAGAACTTACGTTTTTGACATCGGCTAACGGCATGACTAAACCAACCATGGGTCTGGCTAAACCAGCCCAACAGCGATGTTGGTGCAACCAACAGCGCTGTCTGGCTTCGGTAGCTGAAAACCATGGTTTGGCGTTAAGTCTTCCAACAGCGACGTTGCATATTAGAAATTGCTGTTGAGCCAAGGTTGGGTTTCTAGAAACATCTGGAACAGCGATGTAGCCTTCCCTACAGTGCTGTCCAACCTAAGCCAAAAATATAGTGCATTGGCAGAAAGTTTTTGGGCAGCGATGTTGACCCAGCAATAGCGCTGTCAGGCCAAAACTCCACCTTCAAAGTCAGACTTAAATAGCGATGTTCAAGTATTGAACATCGATGTAGGGACCTGACCGTTGGAAGGGATTTAAGTCTAAAACTTTCCTTGTTTGGAAGTCAACAGCCAAAACAGCGATGTAGGAGTATTGGACATCGCTGTTGGCATGACCGTTGCTTCCCAATTTTCAAAACGCAAGCCAAGAACAACGATGTCCAAGCCTAGGACAGCGCTGTCTCGGTGAATTTCAGCAGATCCAAATTTAATCAAATCCCACAAATTGTGCCAATCACCCCTTAAATGTTTTGATCCGTTGGAGCCTATTTTTCCACTATAAAATGGGGTGTTTGGGTCTGTTTTACATCAACACATTACTTCACAATCTCTACTCCTTCATTGCAAATCATTCATCCTTTATTCATAGCTTTTTGAGAGCCATCTTTGTGAAGCTTGTGTTGTGTTCTTGAGCGTATTACTTTACTCAGTATCCACTCTAAAAGAGAGTATTGTTCTTGAGTGAGTTTAGTGTTCTTAGACACTTGACAAGAGAAATTATTTCTCTTGTTGTTCGAAGGAAGGGTTGTTTCCTTCGAAGGTTCGTTGAGGTTCGTGTGAGTCGAACACTCAAGTTGTACGGGTTTGTTAAGCACCGTTAAGCTTAACGAGATAGTAGTGTAGCTTGAGAGAGTCTCTCGGGAGGCTGGATTAGCAACAAGTTGTGGTGAACCAGGGTAAAATCGGTGTGCCTCTTACTCTTCTCTTTACTTCTCGTTTATTCATTTTTTATTCCTGCGATTTCTTGATCAAACGCTATTCACCCCCCCTCTAGCGTTGGTCTATTATACTAACAATTGGTATCGGAGCCTAACTCGCGTCCAAACTTAACCGTTTGAGAGTAAAGCGATCATGGGTTCTTCTTCTAGAAATCTCTATGCAGGAATTGGAGAAGGTCAATCAACTTCTAGGCCACCACTCTTTGACGGCACCAACTATTCCTATTGGAAGGAACGGATGAGAATCTATATATGTTCCACCAACTTCCAATTATGGTTGGTCATCAAAAACGGAGAGGAAATCCCGATGAAGAAAGTTGACAACAAGTTGATCCCCAAGACCGAAGATGAGTTTGATGCCAAGGACATCAAGAAGATTGAGAATTATGCAAAGGCCATCAATATGCTATATTGTGCGGTAAACCCCGATGACTACCGGAAAATCTCCTGCTGCACAACCGCCAAGGAGATGTGGGACAAGCTTGAAGTGACGTACGAAGGTACTGATCAAGTTCGTGAAGCCAAGATCGATTTTCTCACTCAAGAGTACAAAATGTTCCGAATGAAAGAAGGTGAGAAAATCGATGACATGTTCGACCGGTTCTCAAAGATCATCAACGACCTTCATGCCTTCAAAAAGACTTACGCCAACAAGGATCTCGTGAGGAAAATCCTGCGGAGTCTCACACCTGAATGGAGGTCAAAAGCCGATGCAATCTATGAGTCCATCGGAGTCTCCAATGTCACCATCGATGGGCTAAGAGGTAACCTCAAAACTTATGAATCTACTATTCTAACCCCGTCTTTGGATGAACAAACGAAGAAAGGAATAGCGCTCAAAGCAACCAAGGAGACCGTAGAGGAGGTTTCAAGCGATGATGACAACGAATTTGGACTTGTCATCATGAAGTTCCACAAGTTCATGAAGAAGGAATTTGAGCAGAAGGGAAGGAAGCACGACGGTCCTCCCAAGTGCTACGGCTGTGGCGAGATTGGCCACATCAAGCCAAGGTGTCCAAAAGCGAAACACGGCAAGGATAAGCCCGGCTTCAAGAAGCAAAGGGCTTACATCTCTTGGGGTGGCGATTCCGGAGACGAATCAACCGACCAAGAGGAGGACGAAGCTGCAAATCTCTGCCTCATGGCGCACGAAGATCAAAACGACAACGTCCAAGAGGTATGTACCATTTATTCCGACTCCTATACTTTTGAAGAAATGCAAGAAGCACTTCATGAACTTTATGAGGAATTTGTTAGTGCTTCTAAAACAAATAAATCTTTGAAGAAACGTCTTTCCTCACTTGAAAACGATTTTGAAAAATTGGAAAAAGAAAATGAAATACTTAAACAAGAAAACAAGTTTTTTGGAAAAAAAGCGCTGACAAACTAGAAAGCTCATCATGTGAATGTGGGTCTTGTAAAACTTTAAAAGAGCAAGTCGCTAAACTTGAGAGCACGGTCAAGAAATTTAACACTCCTCACAAAGACTTAAATTTACTTCTTGACACTATGCATTTTTCTAAGGAAGGAATAGGTTATGATAAAAATAAAGCTAAAGATAATGTTGAGCCACCACCTAGACAATCATCTAAGGTTCAACATAAGAAACCTAAAAATCAAGATAATAGAAAACCTAGTCAACCTAAGGAGACTAGACAACCTAGACTAAACCTAGGAATGAAAATGGTCATGGTAGACAACCTAAGATAAATGATTTTGTGCATAAAAACGAATTTTCTCAAATTAGAAGAAATAATGCTAGAGCACCTAGAAAAGGCCATTTTCAAAATTTTCAAAAACCATTGTTTTCACAAAATAGGAACAAAATGGTTAAACCCTCTAACTATTATGAACCTAGGCACATGTACAACCCCAACGTAGTTTGCCATTATTGTAATAGGATAGGCCATATTGCTCCCGTTTGTTACACTAGGCATAGGCACCTATCACAAAATCAAGCACACTACCATCACACACCTAACACCCGAGGACCCAACGTAAATTGGGTACCTAAACTCATTGATGTGTTTTCATAGGTGTGCTTGAAGGCATCAAGTGTACTTTGGTACCTTGATACCGGATGCTCCAAGCACATGACCGGGGATGCATCCAAGTTTCTCCAAATCAAACCCGCTAAAGGAGGAAATGTAGTTTTTGGAGATAATAGCAAGGGAAAGATTATCGGCATTGGTTCAGTAGGTAAATCTGAAAACTCCTCTATAGATAATGTCTTGCTTGTTAAAGGTCTTAAACACAATCTCTTGAGCATAAGTCAATTATGTGACAAGGGAAACCGTGTGACCTTCGATTCAAAATCATGCACGGTAGAACGCCTTAGTGACAATAAGGTCATTCTACGTGGTGATAGAATCGATAACATATATATGGTTAACTTAGACAAATCTCCTTCCGGCTTTGCTAAGTGCCTCATGAGTAAAGAGGAAGACACTTGGTTATGGCACCGAAGGGTAGCTCATATGAACATGAACCTTTTGAACAAATTGGTTTCACAAGACTTAGTAATTGGCATTCCAAAACTTAAGTTTGAAAAAGACGCCATATGTGATGCATGTCAAAA